GCTTTTTTATTTTTCCGTCGTTCTGCATTTAAAAGCTCATCGCCATTCAACCGTCTTCTTGATACCTACCGCCCCCTTGAGTGACAGAGCACCATTGGGTTCCGGAAATAATATTATTTTAATAATTGATCAAATTGTCATTACCTGTATAAAATCGAAAAACGACCGCTCTAAAGTACCTCCCCGGTGAAATTTCCTATTAGAAAAATTGCAATCATTATAAGTTGGAGCAAAATTTCTGGTAAAAAAAGTTGTCCACAAAAAAAACAAATTCGTAATGTTATACTAATTTATTTTGTTTTCCTGTTTTTCCTCAGTCTTTTTCTTTTGGTTTTTCACATTTGATGAAAAAACTCTCAAAAAATTATTACCTAAAAATACCTTCGCAGTCAGATTTCATTTCAGAAGAAGTGCTACACTTGTAAATCGGAGCAATTTTTCCGTTAGAAAATTTGTTCACAAAGAAAAAAAAAGACGTCCTTGGATAATGAGGTCAAGTGCAGCCTCTGTTATAGGTAATTTAATGTATATCTGTAAGCAACGATAAACTATTGCTAACCAAAAGACGATTCTGGGTGGAGTTCAGTTGATAGTGACGCTTTTTCAACAATATATATGTCATGTTATGGTAAAATAATTTCATTATACATTTTCTTTAATAATATTTGTTTAATATTGTATCAATTTTCCTGTTCATCCCGGTTTTCCCATTTTTTTCCCAGTTTTTTACATTTTCTGGGAAAATCGAAAAAATTACCCCACTAAAATACACTCCATTCAAATTTCCTTTTAAGAAAATTGCTATAATTGTAAATCAGAGAAAAATTGCTGATAGAAAAATTGTCTACTGAAAAAAAAATCTTAATACTTACTAATGTAGTTTGTACATTTTCCAGTTTTTTCTTCGATTTTCAGGATTTTTCTATTTATTAGAAAAAATCCTAGGAAAATCAAAAAATGACTTTTCCAAATTACCATGAAGACAAAAATTTCTTTCAGAAAATAAACTACACTTGATGTATTGGAGCAAGATTTTTGGTAGAAAAGTTTGCACAATAAATCGAGAAGTATTTTGCAATTAAAATAGTTCGAGCGAGCGATGGCTTGGGAATCTAGATACACTCGAAATACATTTGTTTTTTCCTTATTTAGATAAAAAGGGAAAAAAAATTCAAAACATTTTTTTTCAAAACATGGATTTGAACTCCCGAACCCTAGGATGATAATAGGTATATTTATTCAGCTACGGCAAACATATTTTAGTGAAGACAATATTTAGTTATTTAGCATAACATATAATATCCACTGAATATCAGAACTTTGAAAAGCTATATTTTCTTAGTAAACTAAACTTAAAAACTCTTAAACTTAGTCAGTCCGCTTAATTCTAATTTCACGATCGTTCTTAAATCGGCAATATACATATGTTCAAAAAAAAAAAAAAAATTGAAAAATTAGTTTTACTCAACGATTATCATCAAAATTTGATATTAAAATTTCCTTATAAAAAAATATACTACATTAAACTCAAATCTTCTTTTTTTTACCACAAACTAAGACTCTTAGTGAACCTCCTGTTAAATTTTCAAGTATTTCTGTTAAGTCTAACAATTTTACCATAGAGCATCCACCGATTAAAAATTACATACAAAACTCGCAAAATTAACATGTATATAAATAGCTCAAATATGGCTTCAATTTTTAGAAAATTTTACCATGTATGGAAATAGCGAATATAAGTTTTCTCTCAAAATTTCAAGTCTTTAAGATTATTCTTAACTAAATTACAATAAATAATAAAATTGAAAAATAATAAAAGCATTATTTTAGTAAATTTCCCGTTTTTCTTACGTTTTATCCTGGTTTTTTCTAGATATTATGAAAACTGCTTAGAAAATCAAAAAATAACTTTCTAAAAGTACCATCTGAATAAAATCCCCTTTCAAAAATATTACCTCGTGTATATATATATATATATGAGCAAGATTTCTGGTAGAATTTTTGTACACAATATAAAAAACAAAAAAAGGTATCTTAGTAAAACCAATACATTCTTAATACACTCAGAATCTAAAAAATAAAATAAACATACTTATTTACAGATTTACAGTTTACAATATTATTATTATTATTGTTATTTATGTTGTAGTTATATTAATTTATTTTAGTTTTTTGCATGTTTAAAATATAACTTTTTCCTATCTAGCTATCAAATAATAAAACTATATCCCTATAATATGAATTATAATTTTTTTTTTTTATAATTGTTTATTTAAAAGAAAATTTACAATCCATATAAGTAAGTACAATAAGTAAATGTGTGGAATACAAATTGAGTAGTGAAAAGACAAGAAAAGAAAACAATGAATAGGAGTTTCACGTTAGAAACGCCAGCTGAAGGTGAACGGTCATTTTAGGAATAGGTAATAAATTAATAATATAAATAAATAATACATTTTAGAAAAAAACGTTAAAAAAACGTTATGATTTACATTGAAAAGATCTCTAGGCTATTCGCGTTTCAGACGTCTGGCTTGATTGCCCGGAAGTGCACTGGAAAGAATTTGAGGGTGTTTGTATGGTGTTCCATTTTAGAATGCTAGCGTAAGTAATATTTGGTAGCTGTTTGTTTTATGGTGGGGTTTTGAAGGCCATTTTGCAGCGAAATATTTGTGACGTACCAAGGGGCTTTATCAATCATGCGGAGGTAGATAGCTCGGAATGCTTGTATGGTTTTAATGTTTGATGATTTAGCAGTACCCCAGAGGGCGATTGCGTATGAATAAATAGTAGGGTTGGTAATGAATGCGAATAAAACGTATTTAAACGTTACACGTACCCCACGTATAAAACTTTATAAGGAATTATACATTTTTTTTCTTTAAAATCTATAATTATTATATAATAGTAATAATATTGTATATTTTAAATTTTATAAGTATAAACTTATAAATTACCTAATATAACAAATTAATAAATCACATCAACTTAATGACGTATATTTTCATAAATTGAGTATAAAACAAAAACACAACAAATTTATTTTTTGTTATTATAAATATTAATGTGGTTATTGATGATAAATAAAAATGAACTTAGTAATTAATATAACAAATTATTACATATATATTAGGTAATTAATATAAGATACATTAGTTTTATATACTAAAACCAGTCTTAGTACAAATGTTGTGTTTATGCATTGATCGTCCTATGAGGCTGTAGCAAATACATAATTGCCTGTTATTGGCGACACATATTAGATATTGATATATTATTTACTACGTATTTTAAATACTATTATTTTAATACAATATTTGTTTGTAACTTTTTTTCTAATAAAATCTAACTGAGTTTGGAAGTGGTTTTTTGTATAACTTGTATATGAAGTTCTTAATTGTTAAATATTTTCCTTGTCTGTTTGGTTTAATATGTAGTTATTATTCTTTATCTGAAAATGAGTAATATTTGATCCATGTAATATAGTACAATTCTTTTGACATTATTAATGGGATTTTCACTTTTCGAAGTTGGTAATCATCAATTTGAAAATCTCATCACTTAAAGATATCTTTAATCATGATCCCAAGGTTTATAAATTATAATCTATACATTTTGGATTAATCCAGGATCTGTATATTCGCAGTCGATTAAAGCACAATCTTTATCATTTTGTTGTTATCATCCGAAATATATAATATAAATATATATATTTTTTATGTTTAAATTAGTTTTATTGAAAATGGATGACATTAAATATTTTAATATTGTCTTGAAAAAGTTTTAGATAAATCATATTATATATATAATCAATACAACTTCCATTCGAAGGAAAACAAATGATTTTAAATCTTTTTCACTTAATTTATTGGAATTAGGTGTCATCAACATTCTTAGACTTACCAAAATCTCATAAAAAAAATTAATTAAAATAAAATTTATAATTTTAACAATTATTGAGTTTTAAATTATTTGTAATTTTTTTTTTTATATTAAACGAGTCTTACACGTTAGTGGCAATTGATTTTCCAATATTTACCATTTATAATTATTTTTACCTAACTATCTATTATGCAGTTTTGTAATTTTGACATACTTTCAATGTTTTTGGACAATACATTACCTACAATTTTAATGTTTATACTTCATAAGAAAACAAAATACAATGGTGTTGTAACCTAACATTTTCAGTTTAAAAATGTGTAATCAGACACATAGAAAACTTAAGTATAATTATAGTATTATAGTATTTTAAATTTATGTAACGATCATCACGCTAGTAAAAAAGGAAAAAAAAATATTTTTTTATCATCTATATTCTACATTGTTATTTTAGATAAAACAACAAAATGATAACGATGGTGCTTTAATCGGCTGCTAATAGACAAACCTAGAGAGCCTAGATAACCTAATCTAGGCTCTCTAGACAAACCCATTAATTGGTATCACCATTATTTAATGTCTGTGATTATCAATATCAATTGACAATTATTATACCTGATATTGCTGTCCAGTGCAACCAAACAAATTGTATATAGTATAAATCATATAAAACTAATAGTTTCATACTGTACATTTTATGCGTAAGTATAATACGTGTTTTATACTTCTGTATTACTGAAAGTGGGAAGGACCCCAACGAGATGAAGGACCTAACCTACGAAAATGTTAGCGATTTTAAATATCTGGGAGAAACGTTATGCACAAAGAATGACTGGTCCAAGGAAATAATTATTCAGATAAACAAAACCCAAAAAACTTTCTTCGCACTAAAAAAGTTCCTGAAATCCAAAATGTTGTCTAGGAGAACAAAATTAAGACAGTATGTGGCTATTATAAGACCGGCTTTCTTGTATGGCTACGAAGCTTGGACGACAACCAAATAAACAGAGAGAAACTTGAGGACTCTCGAGAACACAGTATGGAGGAAAATATGTGGACTCATCATCAATGAAATAACAGGGAACCTGCGAAGGAGGTATAACAGAGAGCTATACGATATGTTGGATTTAGCACTAGTAACAAGCTTTATTAATGACCAAAGGCTTCAATGGTTGAGTAATATAATGAGAAAAGGTGAGAACAAAACAGTTAGAGCAGCATTGGTATGGACGCCGGAATGGAAAAGACCTAGGGGAAGACCTAGGAAAAGATGGATTGATGTGGTGGAAGAAGATCTAAAAACCCTTGGAGTTGAGAATTGGAGGGAGATAGTTCAAGATAGAGGTGGCGAAGTGTAGTAATGGCGACAAAAACTCTTAGAGTGTTGACATGTTAACAGAAGAGAGAGAAGGTTTACTACCTTCTCAATTAGCCACTTATAATAGACACACGACCCATCTGAAATATCAGCTCTTTTAGATTCTGAGTGTAGTGAATTATGTATTAGTTTTACAAAGATATTTATTTTAATTTTTTTATTCAGTATACAAAAATTCTACCAGAAATTTTGATCCGATTAACAATAGTAGCACTTTTTCTGAAGATAAATCTAACTGGGTAGGTACTTGAGAGAGGTCATTTTTTGATTTTCCTAGTTTTCCTAATAAATAGGAAAAATATGGTAAAAACCGAGAAAAAACGGGAAAATAGATACAATGTTAATAAAATATCATTAAAGAAAATATATAAAATAAAATGTTAATGTAACATATATATACCGAACTTCACTCAGAATTGTTTTTTGTTAGCAATATCATTAATCGCTGCGAACAGATAATTTCCCCTCTACTTTTCCAACTGCTCACCTACAACAGTGGATCAGCCTCGTGCGAAGTATATTCGTTTTTTTAAAACTGATTTTAGTCAAATCTAGATTATTATTAACGAAAAATTAAAATATTTGTATAACTGACCTAGTTTGCTGTAATATGACCTAATTGTTCATTACAAAACAATGTATACGATTACTTAAATTTTAAATGCACGACAAAAAAAATTATGAAAAAAACAATAAACAATAATAGAGCCTTATAGAGTATAATATTATTGTGATGTTAAGATTTTTGTTCGATGACACACTAACCCAGTTGCTGGACAAACCATACTTATATATTGTATGTGTGTATTCTTTGTATATGTGTAGTATGATCCTATATTTTAATTTCATTGCATAATCAGCAAATTATTTTAACGAATTCTATAATAATGCTATGTCAGTCTTTTCTTTTTTTTTTTTATAGAAACTAAAAATTTTAAAAGTATTTTTGTATTTCAAAATTTTAATTTTCTGTTTATTAAATTGTTGTATTTTTTGTTAATCTCGCTGTATATATTATAATCGTTGAGCTGTCATAGTGTAGTAACACTATGATAGCTAATAAAAGCTAATAAAAATATTTGAAAAAAATTGTAAAGACAAATTTCTGTAATGTAATATTATATACGTTATTATTGAAATTGTTTGGCATTATATAAGTAATATTCTGGTTTTGATGCTAAAATTATTAATTTATCGATTTTATTATATTTTTTATCCCATTTTCCCCGAAAAAAAGAAACTATTTCACCGTATTGTGTCTGCTATATATACAATATACAATGACATATCCACGGGAAGACATTGCGAAGATTAAAAGCCTATCTTAGAAATACCATGACAGAGAACCATTTAATTTGTTTGGCTAAGATTAATAGGTACTCAAAAACAAATTGAAATTAATCCAAAAGAATTGTTGGATGAACTGCCTAAGAAAAAAAGGAAAATTAATTTGGTGTTGTAAAATTTAATGAAACTATTTTAAAACTATTGAACCTATAAAAACTATTTTAACTTTAAATTTTGAATAAATAATATTTTTATTTTTTTTATTTTTTCAAGTTTATTTATTTATACATTTTGTGATATAATAAAATAATATGAATAAAGTACGTACGTATGTGATTATATTAACTTTAATCACATTTTATTATAACGGCGGACTCAATTTTCTGATGATCTTTTTTTATTTATCACACATTTTGGAACTTAGGTCGTTTAAATTTGTTGACCCCCCCATAAAAAGGTTTTCAGTACATGCTTGTATGAATATATATATATACACAACCCCAGAACTTCATTTGGTTCAAACTTCTTTTGAACCAAATGAGTTCCAACTCTGGAATTAGCATTGATTTATTGGTGGATTAAAGTGATATAATTTTGATTGAATTCAATATGAATTGAATTTATCATAAATTGTTAACATTAGGTTAGATTTTTAGGTTTTTAGTCCTATATACCGATATAGGCCCCCTAAATAAATGCCATGGGATTGCAATTTGGTATATTCGTTGTGTATACATCGAGGGTGTGCTTTTTTAGGTTTCAGATTTCTACACAATCCCCAACTATTTTTATGTTCAAAATGTCAAGTTTTCATAGGAAATATTGGGTTTTAAATACCCCTGTACAGATTAAAATGTAGTTGAACTCAGGCAACCAGAAATATTTAGATCATTATAAAAAAAAAATATATTGTAACGATGATAATTTAGTACCATTCGGTCATCAAATGTAAACAAACTACAGTCCTGTTATGCTTAAATGTCAAATTATATGGAATACTTCTCGACGTCCCAAAACATCAGAAGGTTGAGTGATATAATATTTGAAAAACTAATATTATTAAAAGGAAACATTGTCTATAAAATATATGATTCTTGATTAATATTTTTAGTGTCTTTGACTACCTGATGTGTTTAGATTCTGAGTGGAGCGAAAAAGCCTATGGTTTTACAAAGATGTTTATTTGTTTTTCTGCGGACAACATTTCTAGCAGCAATTTGGCTCCAACTTTTTAATGATAACAATTTTTCTAAGGAAATTTCACTGGGGAGATACTTTCAAGCGATCGTTTTTCAATTTCCTTCGGAGTTTTCTCAGCAAATCTTAAGCATCACTATCAACTGAATTCCGCTCAGAATCGTTTTTTATAAGCAATGGTTTATCATTGCTATTTATTAATGGTATACATTAAATTACCTATAACAGTGGCGCCTCCCGTCCCTATCCTAGGACGTCTTTTTTATTATCAGTATCTTAATTTAATGTATTTTGTACTTCGTATTTGAAATACACAAAGTGATGTATTTTGCTCATCACTGCCTAGTGCCTATATACTCGTAGTATATATATATACAGGGTTGGACTATCTAATAAAACAACCCGGGAAATATTTATTCGACGTGCCCAAAAAGTTATACAGCGGCTCCGTTTCAACTTATTTTTTTTTCTTGAAAGTGTCCTAATTATCGGTTCGTTACGGTAAACCGATTGCTCGTGTCCTACTACAGCGTTTTACAGCATATCGCAGGCCTTTCTATAGCATACACAAGTCCCTGAAAGCTTATTTTCAGTCTTTTGAGTACTATTTTATATCTTAGCACAAAAATTATCAATATTTTGTTTTGTATTAGACTCATCAAGTAACTTATTCCGGTTATTCTCTTACCCCATTTGACCTTACCAGATTTGCTCAACTCATTTTTATCGCAGCCTACCGGGAGATTTCCCGGTGTCCCAGTTATCTTGTCTAACCTTGTATATATTGAAGTTTACTGATTTGCGATTTCGTATCTATAAAAGGCACCTAGAAGCATAGTGAGAAAATAGTGTTCATAAACTATAAATAAGATTGTATTTGTATCCTTTACATATTCATTATTTTCTTATAATAGTACTTCTACTGCACTTTCATTGCTGTTGTGGTTATAAATTTAACGGTAATAACAATTTACATGATGTATTAAATATTTGTTACCTACTACCTATAATATACGATGTATTAATCCAGCGTTATTTCAATTCATTTGTATCTTATTAATTGTACTACTATGCAATTTATGTATATTATTGGTGTAAAATTATTTAAAAATAAATTAAATTCGTATAACCTATATTATAGGTACTTACATACCTAAATTTGACATTAAAGTTCTAAAAAAACGATATTTAACCTAATTATAGGATTCTATATAATACCTACATATTAAGTACTAGGTACGTATATTATTTTGTACGTATAGTCCATGAATAAAAATGCGGATATTTTAGTTAGTATCTATTACATTGTTTTAATAATGTTAAGATATACGTAGGAGTAAAATTTAAAATAAAAAAATAATAATGAAGTAAAAAAAAAAGATAAATTGGTTTAAAAATAATTACCATAATATTATATACGTCATTTAAATAGTTCGTAATATTAAAATATGAATTATGTGTGGTTTGTATGATATACATAATACATATATTATAATATGAAGTATATGACAAGAATGTTTTTTATAAAATGTATATATGTAGGTACATGTGTAGTAGCAAAAACATTTTTTTTTATTATTCTCATATCTTTGATATTTGATAATAAGTATAAATATTATATACGTATACACACTACGTTACCTTCATTACGAAATGTTTAACAATTTGTGTAATAATTTCACTTTATATACTTACCTTTGTTATTTGAAGGATTTTATGGGAATAAAAATTGAAATTAAGTAATGCGCAGTAAGTAATTGTTCATAGAAATATTTATTTTAGATTCTGAACAAAGCAAGGGAATGTATTGGTTTTAAATGATGATTATTTATTTCATTTTTTTATATTGTGTACACAATTTCTTCTAAACAATTTGCTCCGATATATCAATAGAGCACCTTTTTTGAAAGTAAATTTCGTCTAGTTGGTCCTTTATGGAAGTCATATTTTGATTTTCCAAGCAGTTTTCAGAATTATTGGAAAAACCCAGAAAAAAACAGGGATAAACGGGCATCATGTTTACAGCGCGGCGTAACAATTTACGACATTTAGATATTATATTTTTGTAACTTATGTTTTCTACTAGAAATCTTACTTGAATAAAAAAATGACTAGAGACCATTTACGTTTTGTTTGGGATTTAGTTGCACACGAAGACAGTCGTTTTTCAACTGGTTAATTAGTTTTTAAAATAATTGGGAAAAACTAAAAAAAAGACCAAAAATGAACACTGATACAAATTTACAAAAAATATGCTTTTAGTGTTTTCTATTTTGTTTTTTTTTTTTTGATTTATAATTTAGTTAAAGAGAATTCAAATATAGACCGAAAACTAACATTTTCCTTTTATAGACGTGGTATAATTTTCAAAACAACTGAGCCATTTTTAAGTTATTAGACATTTTAATTTTGTGAGTTTTTTACGTAATTTGTATTCAGTAGGTACCTACTCTACATACAAAAATTGTTAGATCAAATAGAAATGTTTGAATATTTAACAGGAGATTCATTATAAGTTCTTCTGAGTGGCCGACAAAAAAAAAAGTGGGTTTAATGTAATATTTTTTTTATAAGAATTTTAATATCACATTTTGATGAAAATTGTAAATACTACGGTCTTTCAAAACATGTATAACCGAACTCCACTTAGAATCGTTTTTCATTAGCAATAATTAATCGTCGCATATAGAAATACACAGGGGTGGATTGAGAAGAGTTTTTGAACCGGGAAAATACAAAAGTACAGATTCACTTATTAATTTACCAAATACTGAATTTTAGTCAACATGTATTATCATTATTTTAACATAACTACAATTTCTTTTTATACATGTGGAAAGATATTATGTGCTGTTCTGTCATTTGTCAATCATATCTGAATCTAAAAATTTATATTTGAATAAAAAAAAAATATGGACATACTTCGCAGGTGGGTTCAGACACTGTTGTACGTAAGTTGTTGGGAAGGTAGGATACAGATGGGAATTGAATGTATATTTGTTTGCAACGATAAACCATTGATAACAAAAAAACAATTCTAAGCGGAGTTCAGTTAATAGTATTGCTTTTTCAACAATATATATGTTATGTTATTGTACTTATTTCCCCATGCCTTATCCATTTTTCCCATTTATTAGAAAAACTCATAGGAAAATTAAACAATTGTTCAAAAAGTCAGATTTTCAGAAAAAGTACTACACTTGTAAATTGGAGCAATGTTTATGGTAGAAAAATTGTTCACAGTTAAAAAAAAAAATAATAAATAAACATCATTGTAACTCCACTCTGAATCTAATATTGATTATTTTTGTATTATTAAACACTTTAATCCATCACAAGCTCAGGCTTGAAGGAATAAATATTTTCTTTATATTATATACGTACGTATATTTCATTACATATGTATTTTAAAAACAATTTAATTTAAAAAAAATTCAAATCAAAACGTTATTAGTATACTTCAAAATTTTAGCATAATTTTTTGACTTAAAATACTTTTTAAAATAGTTATTTGAGGAAGCGGCCCATCGGAAAAACTTTCAAACTCCCGCCGGCTCAATTCGCCCTTGCATGGTATACATTTAATTCCCCTCTATATCCTTCTTTTCCAACTTCTCATCTACATGAGTAGTCCATCCATCTTGCGAAGTATATCCGTCTATTTAACACAGGCTTGAATTTGTTTGATTCATGCAATTGTATAGTGGTAGAAATATTAAATCTAAAACAATTATGTACTTACTAAATTACTAAGTTATATAATATTAAAAAAATGCATATAATATCATACATTGTTATTGGTGGTTTACGATAATTCCGATAATATATAATAACATGCGTACGATATCTTTCGACTGAGCTTTAGATAATGATAAGTACTTGTATATTTTCATTGGACGTGTACGACGATAAATTATATATTTGTGGTTTATAATAAATAGTATTCAGTTCGTTTTATATCACGGAGTTTGATATCTAATTCATCAATTTGCGTTATTTAAAATTCAAAAGGTAAATATCGTTTATTTATTATTATATAAATTTACATATTTATTATATATTATTGAAAAAAATATACTCTTGGTTAAAAGGTACTAATGTTAAAATAATATTAAATATACATTGCACTAATATTTAGGTATATATTGTATAAGTAGAAATTAAGTAATAAACACTAAAGTTCCTAACTTGGCCTGGAAAAAAATTATGAAGGAGTAATTTATTATCGGCCTCGTTTTTATTAAGAGGTTATTCAGTTAATAGAGAAAACATTATCCTACATCATAACTATATTTATTATTTGACCAATTTTAGATTACATAAGCACTCAAAAAGCTTCATACCATTATAATAACCGAAATATGAGTGCTAATAACCCAAATATTTTGAAGGGAGGTTAACACTCCATAATATTGATTATTGATTGTGTATGCTTAGTATTTACTTAATAAGAACTTGATTTGGGGGTAAAAGCGCACCACCTATTTGTTCCTATGAACCTAAACTTACATTGTTCGAATGAAAAACCTTTCAAAATTTAAAATAATATGTTATCGGTACAAGTGCAAAAGCTTGAAAGCTTTGATATATTTTTAATTTTATTTTTACTCACTAAACACCAACTGCTAATACTGATTGGTATTTACTATACTGTCTACAGGTACTTTCTTATTACTGTAAACATTTAAATATACTTAATTGCACTTATAATCTATTACGCATGCAAATATTTTCTTCTCGTATTATAGTTTTGTATAAAATTAAATGTGATAAATATTTTCGTTAATCCTATTTAAACAAAAAATGTTATACAATTTGTATTGATTTTATTTTTTAGATTTTTGGCCTTCTAGAAGACCTTAGCTACAATGGTAAAATATGACTAATATTTTAATCTTACCGGTTTAGTGAGCTCCACTCAGAATCATTTTTTGATTGCTATGGTTTATTGTTGCTTTAAATACCTATAAGTATATGTAAACTAAATTACACCAGGTATACGTTAAATATCACTCCAACCTCTCACCGAAAATTACAGTAGGTACCTTACTTATGGCACGAAGTATGTTCGGCTTTTCTTCTTTTTTATTACTTATGTTATTCAAATTATATCTCTTGGTAAGAGAGAATAGCATAGTATTACACAATTTGTATATATTTTAAGAGTGGAGGGAATAGATTATATTTGATTATATTATGTAGAAGAGAAGAAGCATTAAAGTATTATTATTTTAATCCTAAGGTCTTAATATATTTTTTGATATCATGCATTAGGATATGTTAATTAAAGACAATTAGAAATTAATAAGTTGTTTATTATCACATTGCGTTTTGAATTATTTTCACTTGCAAATCGATTGTACTTTATTAATAGAATAAGTACAATCGATTTTAATATGTAAATAAATAATAATTTCATAAATAAATATTAGTTCCAGTTCTAATCCCCATGAATGTGATATTAAAAAAGACATTAAGATCTTAGGATTAAAATAAGTTCTTTGTTTTTGTTAAAAACTAATTATAAACAATCCAGTGGTGGTCAAATTTTTTTGTCATAGGGGGGGGGATAAGGATAATTTGTAAGAACAATTATTTTTACATAATCTTTTTTTACAACTATAAATATATAATACAATATACAGGTGATTTAAGCACACTCGTTCCATGTGTTTATTTCAATTATATATACATTCAAATTCTAATTTTTGGAATTTTTAAGTGTAGTATTAGAGGATATTTGCTGCGAAAAGTCATTTGGTGATCAATTTTTTGGAGGTTAATCCTCTTAATTTTTTTTACAATTTTATTAAATTCAAATTTCAACATTTTACATTCATCAAATAATTCTTGATTCTTTATTTTCCCCTAATTCTGAACTGTGGTGACATAATGCCGAATTTTTGTATTCCATATATAAATTGGGGTGGGTAGGTCATGACCCGTGAGTGGTTAGGAAAAAAGTTATGAAGTTATGTTATACAGTTTATACTCCAAGTCTTGAAGTATAGTATATTATAATACATATACTTAATATAATGTATACAGTGTACCTAGATGTGTAATCATATTTTAAGCATCGAAGAGTTATCGATAGTTGATAATAAATCAAATGATAAATAAAATCAATAGATTAATGAATTCTAATTACAAATGGATTTTTATATCTATACATAACTGTTATGACAATTGGGGCGCAATAAATTCCTTCCAAAATATAAAATTATAATTGTGCCTAGAGGTGTGGGTGAAGTTTCAAATGTGTTATTTTAATCAAAATTGGCTAGCGTGGGGGGATAGGCGGGTATGTTATAGCGGAAATGTTTCTATCCCATTCATACAAATAGGTCACGCAACCACTGAATTTTAGGTTTCTAGATACACACACAGTATGTTAAAAAATTTTACTTAAAATTACAAAATAATATTCATTTTTGTTTTAAGCAAAGCGTTTGAAAATAATGCAACTAACAAATGATATATTAATGTAATAATCGGTAAATATATTTCGAGTTTTATATTGAGCCAGGTACCCCATAATTTTAAAAGCTTTAGCATCCCAGGCTAAATGCCACATTGCCCCAACCCTTATTATGGCACTTTAAATAGTTATCGAATTGCCAATTTGGAAAAAATATTTGTTTATAAAAGCAATGAAATCCATATTTACTGTCCCTATATAACGTGTTTTTCAAGAAAAATATATATTGTAGTAAGATTAGTTGTATCATTCAGAATTCCACAAACACTAAACTTATAAAACTCGTGCAATGACATTGAAATATAAAATTTTAGATGGAAATTAATTGAGGCATGTAACGAGAGCAGACGTGTCTATGTATCCATAGGTACTAAAAAACCTTGTTACGGTTCTACGTATAGCTATGATATCGGGTTATTATTTTACGTTTCTATATATTGCAGTCGACCAGATGTTTTGCTTATTACAACGTACATAAATGCTGCATCACAACTCACATTAGCACCAGCCATATTAATAGTGTATGCTATAAGAAATTTAATATATTAACTATTTCTCTTAGTATTTGTCACGATCTAAATGTACTTACTATTTTATAATATTATAAGTAATACAGACAGTTTAAATATAGAAATTAAAAAAACTGTCCTAGGATAATAGGGACGGGTGCTGTCACTGTTATAGATAATTTAATGTATTTCTTTAAACAACGATTAACCTTTGCTAACGAATAAATGATCCTGAGAAGAGTTCCGTTAATAGTGGTTCTTTGTGAACAATATATATGTCATATTATGCTAAAAAATAATTACATATGCATTACACGTTTACTTTAATAATATTTATTTAATTTTGTACCTATTTCCCTGGTTTTCCTTGTTTTCCCATTTATTGGGAAAACTCCTAGGAAAATCAAAAAGGCCTCCCAATAGTATCTTCCCAGTCAAATTTCATTTCAGAAAAAGTGCTATAGTTGTAAATTGGAACAAAATGTCTGATAGAAAAGTTGTTCATAGGAAAAAAAAGATCGTAATAATTTTTATTTCTTATACCATGTGATCTACTTGTGCGTACACTCATCAAATCGGAAAGTATTAACTTTTTTCAGAATCTGTTTTCTAGAACATTTAAGTAACTAGCAGCTCTATATTATTTAAATGTTATTTTGACATTTTTAGGGGTAAAACCATTACACACTTTTGATTTTTAACACGCCACGCGCCGTACTGCCTCACAAATGATACTCCACTACTCTCCTCCAACACAAACTTAAAAATGGAATATCTCGTCAAAGGATTGACGGAAATCAAAGATTTTAACAATTAAATATATTTTAACTAATACTATATCCATTTATGGAATTTTAAATGCAGGTTGTCATTTGAAAATCAAAAACGAGTTTTACTCCTAAAAATAAGGGTGATAAAAAATAACATAAATACAAAATTTTAAAGCAGCTTGTTTCTTAAATATTCTAGAAGACAAATTCCGAAAGAATTTCACATTTTCCGATATAATGAATGTACCCACTTAAATGGATTACCTAGTATACCTACTGGATACATCCATCAAAGCTAGTTATATTTATTTATAGGTACCTAGTTATATTTATTAAGTAAAATATTGCATATTTATATTGCTTATTATACAGAGAATCTTTTAGGGAACCATTTTTAAAATAAACTGAATGAATTCTTATAGGTACGCGAAAATGGACAAGTTTAAAAAATTAGAGCATTTTTACTTCTATTTTGAAAATTTTACAAAAACGAATAACATATTATCATTATATTGCAAAACGTACAAATGCTTCTTCAGTTTAAAGTGTAATTTATTGTCTATGGATATTTGCTGACTATTGTGTTTAAACCAAACTGTAATTCCTAGTGTTATTTTTCACAGAATAAAAATACACAGGTGTGTAACCTTGGGTAGATATTTTAAAATTATCCGTATAGTTAATTTTTGGTGTTGACAATAAATTGTTGACCGTTTTCCGCAATCATATTTACAAATAAGTTTTTAAACAAATTTAAATTGTTGTTGTTGATGTTTATATTGCTAAGGTATAAAAAGGTTTTTCGTTAAGTACTTTATAACACGTATATCTCACAAGAATACTTTTTTTTTATCGTACCAGTGTAATGATATACTATTTAAGCTATCATACATTATGTAAAATAAAATATTATGTAATGTTAATAAATCAAACAATTAATAACAGGAATGATAGTAAAACATTTACATCCTATTCCATTCAAGTTTGTGTAATATTGTAAGCTGATATTGTCACAAAATACAGTAAAATGTCTTCCCCATAAGTATTCCCGAAAGTATGTAATGCCGAAACATAGTCCTAATAGTTCTAATGTTGTGGACGAGTAAGTTTTTTCGTTTTTTAATAATTTTCTAGAGGCGTATCCAATTGGATGTAGTATGTTATTTTTATCGCATTGTTCAAGGCAAGCTCCTACACCTAATAACGAAGTGTCTATAGTTAGGTAAACTTCTTTTTCGTCATTAAACTGTTTTAACTGATTTTTTATTATCAAATAACATATATTTTAGTGCAATATTTACTCATCGTAAGGAGATAATACTTAAGCTATCATATATAATTAAAATAAATTATATAATCAATATTGTAAAATAATTATAATAATTTGTAGCCATTAATTATTAGATTAAGTTGTTAGTATTAACCAAATTAAGATAACACATTTACACACGCACACACACATATTTCTCCAGTTATAAGGAGGCCGGCCACTTCCAATAGCCACAGTGTATGTATTGTTCCCGTTGCTTTTGGACAGATGATCACAAGCGAGTGTAAAAGACTACGCAGAGATTTTTACAAAAGCACGGGAACCTAGAACAGTGTTTTATATTTTTAAAAAAATTAATAAAAAAGAAACAGTTGTTATATTAAAAATCTTTTTATTTACTACGATCACCTATATCAAATTCAACAGATCAATTTGCCGCCTGAAGAAGAAAGGTAATCAAAATTATAATTAATTTATACGTGTGAATCGAATTTACATAACTAGGCACCTCCCGCCATATTTTTGAATTACTACACCATCTACTGACTATTACTGATTGTACTGTTTTAGAATAAAACTCACTACATTTAAGTAGTTTAACAACTGGGACACAACTCAATTTTTTAACATGGATATTTAAAATATATATATGATTCAATTTTTAGTTCAACAGCACGACAATGTCACCAAACGAAAATTTTAAAATCATGTACTTGAATTAATTTCAGACAGTTTAAATTAAAATAGATTTTTAGTTATACATACGATTTTTATTGATGAACAAAAATACACTTTAAAAGACTCTGTAAATCTTCTTGAAACATTTAAAAATACGAATTTTATATGTTCTGAAGAGGTCATCCGAAAATACGAAAGATAAAAACGCAAAAACTGCGACTATTACAATCAAAACACGATTCAGGGCAAAGCTCGGTTAACTACAGAGAAGGTTGATTTGTTTCCCTTGTAGCTAAGGTAAACAAGAAACCAACAAAAATAAAACTTATGTATTGTCATAATTTATTTTCAGGGTTTTTAATTGAAATAAAACTAAACAAATGTTAGGTACAATGCCGTCTGGTGGATATTGCGCTCCTTTTAAAGTACTGCATGAGAAAATCGTAGAGTTTTACAGATAAAAAAATGTTTAAAAACAAAGATGAAAAAACATTAGAGCTATTTTTGAACTATGTATAGATATTTTAATTTTGCGAGTTTTGTACGTAATTTTTATTTGATAGACTCTCTGTGGATAAAATTGTTAGACTAAAGATCATTATATGTTCAAAAGTGGTCAAAAGTAATTTAGGTAGGATTTTTTTTATTTTTTTACAAGATTTTTAAAATCTAAATTTTACGAATCATATTTATTATACGATAATCACAATTATTATTTTACTATTTTTAATTTTAAAAAGCTATCTTATGTTAGTAAATACTTACTTCCCGTAAATATTCGGAAAAAATACTATTACGTGATTGTTCATTTTATTAGTGTTTTTCCTAATACACACTACTGTTTTTACTGTGTATAACCTAATCAGTGCCGGCGTTACACATGCTGGTACCCTGGGCGGAACCATGATTTTGCTTCATCCCTCTAATTAATCGAGTACAGTTATTATCGTTGAGGTGCCCCCTTACAGCAGGCGCCCTGGGTGCAGGCCCTGGTCGCCAACCCCTAACGCCGGCCCTGACATAACTATGTATCTAAACATTTGTCAAGAATTGTTTCCACATAGGTACCTTATATACAAATATTATTGCAGATATTAATATGGATAAATTGTACGCTATGAGTGTATTATATAAGGGACCTAATGATTCAACGGTATTAAAAGCAGCATTTGAACTTCAGTCATTTAGTTTTTTTCAACGATCAAGCGCACAAGAATTTATGTGTTTTGCGACGAAAACAATTGTAGAACGTACAGCTAGCGGTGCTCGACAGTCTATAAAGCAAAAAGGTTTGAATCGATTAATTATATTTATGAATTTCCATTGCATAATAATTAATGACAAGTGATATAATAATATATCAGAATATTTTTGCCATGTTTATGTACGTTCGGATAATCTGGCAGGTGTCCTTATATCGCATGATGAATATCCACATCTTGTTGCCCATATACTACTTACAAAGGTAAATAAAATTAAAATATTTTGTAATCTTATATGTTGATGTATGATCATGATATTATTATAGGCACAAATATTATATATAGCCTAAATATTTTGGGAGATTACCACCCATAATATTAATTTGGTAAAGACTTGATTTAAGGGAACTAAGAACGCACAAGCAACTTCTCCTATTTAAGTCTGTAATGTACATAAAGTGCACATAAATTTATAAAAAAGAGCTGATACTGGGGACAGGTACGTCACGGGTTCCTGACTAGGAAAGTAAATAGATAAAGTAATTCAATTAAATCTATGTAACAAACGATAAACCATTGCTAACGAAAAATAATTTGGCTCGAAGTAATATTTACGATTTTTATCAAAATTGATGTTAACTCTTAAAAAAAAAAATACTCCATAATACACAATTTTTCAAAATAATTTGGAAAACTGAAAAAAAAACGTAGAAAAAATGGGAAAATTCACTAAATTTATGGTTGGATGATTTTCAAATCATGAATATTACGACATTTCAAAACATATTTAACCGAACTCCACTCAGAATCGTACAGATATACAGTAAATTTCTCCTCAACCTTTCCAACTTCTCACTTAAAACTGTGGCTCATCTATTGTGCGAAGTATGTTAGGTTTTATTTTTTTTTTTTAATTTAGACTTTGGATGAATTTTCTGCAAAATTTCTATCATACAGTTGGTCTAGTCTTAATGAAACACAAGTAACATTCAATGAACTAAATACGATGTTAGCCAAGTATCAAAATCCTAAAGAAGCATATAGTCTAATGAAAAGGCAACAAAATTTAAAAATCACACTGGTAATAATTATTTATTTTGTCTTCATATATTTAATTTTTAATAATATGACACAAATTTAAGTGTAATATATTGATTCATAATTATTATCATTAGCAGGATCGACAAGTGAGGGGAAGTGCAATCGGGGCTGTAGCCCCAAAACCCAGGTGCGACCAAGCAACTAGGTCCTATATTTAACATGGCTCTAAAAATTATTTGTAGTTTCATTTTTATAATATTTTACTTTAAAAAGTCAATACACAATATACTAAAAATTAAATGTTAATAATAAAATAATATTACTTTTTACTATATATTGTATTAGTAACAATATGATTTTTACTTTTGAATACTTTATTCGTCAACCGTAAACCAGCTTTTTAAGAAAAATCTATGTTATTCACAAATTAAAATATGATGCTGGGTGTTAGTGGGAAGTTTATTATTTGACATTAGGAGGGATTAGTTTGACCCTAAGACACATGATTTCTTTCCATGACACTGATCACAAGGTAAAATCAACTTAAATAATTCTCTTATTCTCTTATTGAAATTTAGAATATAAATAGTAAACAACAAAATACCTACTTACCATGTGAATATTTTATGTGATAATAAGAGTTTAAAATAATATACACCAATCTAGTTACCATGACCATAATTGAAAAATTTGTTCAGGTTTAAACTAAAAACTGTTCGGTTTTAATTTTTTTACAATATTTTCTAGGTAATTTATAACTAATATAACACGAAAAAACTTTGGAGAAAGGGGAAAAACCTTCTTCGGGTACGGCCTTGCTAGTCACTAGTCATTCACAGATATTTTATACCAAGAATTATACAAGAATTATTTAATATAAAGAATACAAAACTACGCAGGGTTTTTTTTTTTTATCAAAAGATAATATCGAGAAATACAGACATTTTATAACGGTTTAAAATCTATACCTATATATGTTTTTTGATAATTCACATTTTCGTTTTTATTAATGGTATCTACCATTTTTGGCGGTGTTTTTATAATTTTATTTTTTCAAAAATAAAGGAATTCCTTAAAATTTGTATTACTATATTTTTAACTGTAAACGAAATGTTTAAATATTTTGTGTGATTAATTTGTTTACATAATCTAATTATTATATTTTAGCACAATAGAATTGAAGCTGTTTTGAAACCCGGAGAAAACCTTGATGACTTAGTTGCGAAGTCTGAAGAATTAAGTATGCCATCCAAGGCATTATATATTGCCAAGCTATTATAGCTGTTTAATTATAAAGCACCTTTTTAATGCAAGTATAGGTTCATAATTTAGGTGGGTTGTAGTCGTTCGTTTTTAGTTTTAAGGTCAGTAGTTTAATTTGTAATGATGAGAACTTATTTTTTAATAAATTAACTAAAATTAAATAAATTAAATTAAAGTTAAATTTTAAAAAAAATGTTGTATGCTTACCATAATAATGTAGCTACGTTACCCATTAATAATGTATTATTGTCTGTTCTATATATACTATTATTGGTATTTATACATTCTACATAACAGGTATCTATTTAAAATATAATTTCAATAATTAATTGAATAGTTAATAAAACTTAAAATTAAGTAAATACTTGTAATGATATGCTATTTAAGCTATCGTACATTATGTAAAATAAAATATTATGTAATGTTAATAAATCAAACAATTAATAACAGGAATGATAGTAAAACATTTACATCCGATTCCAATCTTTTTTATTATCAAATAACATATATTTTAGTACGATATTTACTCATCGTAAGGAGATAATACTTAAGCTATCATATATAATTAAAATAAATTATATAATCAATATTGTAAAATAATTATAATAATTTGTAGTCATTAATTATTAGATTAAGTTGTTAGTATTAACTAAATTAAGATAGCACATTTACACACGCACACACACATATTTCTCCAGTTATAAGGAGGCCGGCCACTTCCAATAAACNGGTATTTATACATTCTACATAACAGGTATCTATTTAAAATATAATTTCAATAATTAATTGAATAGTTAATAAAACTTAAAATTAAGTAAATACTTACGTACCTATTAGTAACTATAATAAATTTTAAAAGCCTAATGTATCTAATACATTACGTTACATTACAATACATTAATTACCTAATGTAATGCAAAGAATAGTAACCAAGATGATTTATTAATACTGGTTTTTATTTGGCAACAAAATTTTTACTGTCTGTCGATCGTCAAAAATGTGACTATACGTACCTATTTATGAGCTATGAGAATATTTAAAACCAATTTAAACGATTAATTACCTAACGGTATATGGGAAAAAAAGGCCCATAAACAATATTTAATAAAAAAAAATCACATACAAATATTATCATATTTGTAATATATTTGCATTTAAAAAAGTTGGGAAGGTAGAGGGGAAATTTAATGTATATCTGTACGCAACGATTTTTTTCAACGGTTTTTTTTGTACCCAATATAATACCTGGCTATAATAATATTATTACATTCTAATTATTCCTGTCCAATTTATATTTTACTTTATAGGTACATGAAGAATATTGTGTTCAGTATTTTTATAAAAAAAACTTATTATTTAACTTACACAGTACCTGCACATTTAGAAATGTAATCTGCTATGTTTGGTTATTGGTTATATATATTAATTATAAACCGATAAAAAGTAAAACTGTATTTGTGATAAACAAAGTAGCCTTAGATTAAATTCATGTAAAATTGTAAAACGTAAAATCCATCTACATATACAACTTATGTGCAAAAAAAGCACGGATATAGTTATTATGTCTGCACAGCGGTTAATGAGCAATATTAATGTAACGATATTCAATGTTCTTATCAAAAAATACAAATGTCATCACGTCAAGTCTAGAGCCACCTATTAATAACATTTATATAACCTTTTAAATACAACTGTGGGTCAGCTATTTTCGAACAGTAGAATAGCCAGGAGGGGTGTTATTATCTCCTACCACCATTGATTTTTTTTTAACTATAGGTAAGTAAGGTTAAGAAGGTTGTGGAGAAAATTGTCTTTGTATCGTGGCTGCTGTCTAAAATCTGCCGCCTACCGCACATCACGATTAGTTGCGGAACTTTATAGTCATAATTCCTTATTTCTTAAATAATCATTATAATTCGTTGTATAGTTAACATCATATTGGACTATCGATATTCGAAAAGCACGTGTATGTTCTCCATCAACCCATAACCGTTTACAACTGTTATGTCCAACAAGATGAATAGAGTTGAGTTATTACCTTTCCTTAGTTATTTGATGCAATGTTTAAAGTTTATTAGACACTTGTACTTTCCTTGATAAAGATGTTTCATCAGAAGCATACCAATGGCTGTGTTCTACGAGACGACTAAAATTTATACTAGCAGCTTATATACTGGGAAACGTGTTAAATATAAGTTTACCATTAAGTAAGTTTCTTCAGACACAGAATATGGATCTGGTTAGAACTATTCAAACCGCTATAACGACCCTAGGCGTAACTATAGTTAAGTCAAAAGGTCTTAATCTTTCAGTTTCCAATTTGACCTTCCCAAAAAAGCTACTTGACAGCATTAAAAATGTATGACATTTTTTACAAACTTTAGTAAATTAAAAAAAAAATATATATATATATATATATGTTTTGTGTAAAAAAAAAATGTTTTAATAAAAATTTATATTTTTATAGTTGATTAAGTGTTGAAAAAAGTATCTTTTTTTTAATTATATGTGATGCAGCCAGGTATTTATACTAACCTATAATATAGGTAGTTTTTGGTTTAATTGGTTTTTTTTTTTAAAGCTATGAAATATTTTATCATTATTTTTGGTTTTTACATAGAAATCTAAAACTGTATTCAATGCACTAAAATCGTTGTACGTATCTTCATTTTTCACAGCCTATAAATAATTCGAAATCGAGAAAGGCGCAATAAAAAATATTTATGATAAATATTACTCTCACTAGCTGCAATCAGCGATACTAGATGGGAGTGTGTCGTTCATAGGCGACGCCAGGATATTTTTTAGGAGGTGCATACTGCATTTCTAAATAATTCTTTAATAATAATAATAATTATTGAAATTAAATTTTTTCCAAAAGACACGTAAAATTGATTCAATTATGAGTAACAGTTTGAATATACCTATTAATGAAGATAATACTAGTTTAAAACCGTCACGAGATAGGTTATTTAAGTACTATAGATATCAATTAACAAATGACAAATAAAAAGAAGTACCACAACTCCTTCATAGGTTGATTATTGGTGCTAATAAATTAGATAATGAACTGTATTTAAATGCATATATTAATGATGAACTACGTATGAAATTACTGAAAGAGACCTGACTTCCTCTGAAAAAATGGGGGGAGGTCCCCCCCTGAACCACTCACTAGAACCACCATCGTGTATTCGGTATCTATCTCTGGTTACCATTTTAGACTGAAGTCTGAATAATTAAACAAAAAGGAAAATAACAGAAGTCGTAATTGCATAAATATTCCCGGTTTTAACAGTTATTATGAACCTTCAGATGTATCTTTGTGCCAAATAAAAATTTAAAAAGTCTTGAGTCTATTCCAATACAATTCAAATTAAAACAACAAAAATGAAAATTGTTTCCAACAACGGCCTTGGATAGATTTCAATAAACTACGATATTGGCTGCACTGTAAATTCTATTCGTTAAAGAACACTGTTGCACAATCATTGTATATTATACTATAGATAATATTTATGTGTTTTTATCCGATATCGTGAATTCGTGACGTAGACTCAGTATTAAATTTTCATTATCAAAAAAGTTTTGAATACCTACCTATAATTTATTATTATATTATTGGCTAATGTTTATTTTGTGACGAAATCCGAAGTAAAATTATACGTCGTTGAAACATTTTAAGAACATAATATTGAAAAAGTAAAAAATACCCAACACTTATAATTTTTAACAGTGCATAAATCATTTAATTTTAAGAATAAAAAATCTAGGTAAATATATATATATATATTATATTATGTAATCATTTTACCTACATATTCATTTTTTAATTTCTCTACATATTTGAATATTTACACAAACTACGATTTTTTAACAGCCGTCAATATGGTGAAATTGTTTGCTATGAGTGTGTTGTATAAAGGACCCAATGAAGCAACACTATTAAAAGCAGCATTTGAACTACAATCATTTGGTTATTTTCAACGTAAAAGTGTACAAGAGTTTATGAGTTTTGTAACCAAAACAATTGCAGAACGTACAGCTATTGCTGCTCGACAGTCTGTAAAAGAAAAAGGTTTGAATTGTTATATTTTTAATTGCATTTTAAATAATTATAGTTATGTAATATTTTAGAATATATGTGCCATGTTTATGTACGGGCGGATAATCTGGCCGGTGTTTTGATATCTGATGATGAATATCCACCTCGTGTTGCCCATACACTGCTTACAAAGGTAAATTAAATTAAAATGTCATAGTGACTTATGATTTTAATACTGTAGTTTGGAATCAATAGGTGTTTTTTCAAATTTAAAAATTATTTATTGTTATACAATTAGAGAAATTTTTTTATGCCTTATAGAAAGACTATAAGAGAGTGGTCCTATTCGTTCAATAACCATTGTGTTTAATGCAAATATGAATAATTTAAGTATGCATTTTTTATTTTAAATTGTAGTAAACCAATAAATCCCTGTTTATTGTGTGTAAAATATCTAGTTTTGTGTGAAATACAGCGTCATAGTGACTGATAATATGTCGAAAAATAGAAAAGTGTCTATGTGTTAGCGACTTGTCTTAATAATTTAGTCTCTCTAATTTACTATATGTATACTCAGTTAAATACCTACCTAATAGTTATTATCATTTAATTTAGACTTTGGATGAATTTACCGCAAAAGTCCCACCATATAATTGGTCAAAACTTAATGAAACTCAAGTAACATTCAATGAACTAAATGTGATGTTGGCCAAATATCAAAATCCCAAGGAAGCTGATGCTATGACAAAAATTCAACAAGATTTAGATGACACGAAAATTATATTGGTAATAATAAATATTCTTATTATAATAGGAATTTAAATCAATTATATTTATTTATTGTTTCTATCATAAAAATTGATTTAAATTATTTTTCTTATCCATACTTAAATACCTAATACACAATTAATAGTTATTATAATTATTTATTTATTAAGTTAATACTTTATAATTTTAAATAACTTAATGTCACCTATGATTCACAAATACTAAAAAGTTAGAATAGGTATGTAATAGAAAATTGTTTATGATGTTTATGATTATTGATTAATGATTAGTATTCATTTTTCCAAAATCATTCTGTTAGAATTATTGATAGTGCAATCTGTAAGACATCAAATTTTTTTCAATGTAATGTAAGTGATTTAGAGTATAATGAGAACAAGAATTATAAAATAATAAATAGAGTGCAAAACAATTTTTAAAGCGGTTTTTTCTAATTCTTATTTCATAATTATTTTTTATGGAGACTGTGGGTTTCCTTTTATTTTTCAAAAATGTATAGTTTAGTAAAGTTGTTTGTTGTAAACTCATTGATTGTAATTTTTATGTTTATTTTGATAAATAATATACTTATATTTTAGCACAGTACAATTGAAGCTGTTTTGGAACGTGGAGAAAAACTAGATGATTTGGTTGCTAAATCTGAAGGATTAAGTATGCAGTCCAAGGCATTTTACAAAACTGCTAAGAAAACAAATGCTTGTTGTCGAATGTAATGCAAGGAATTTGATGGTAAACAAGATGACTTAACTGGTTTTTAATTATATAATTTGTAATATCCAGTTAGTCAACACAAATATGACTACTTATGAGGATATTTGAAAACAGCGTTAAGGCTTATTAATTATTATTACATTCCAATTCCATCCCAATTTATATTTTATTTTATATTTTGTGAAAGTGTGTTCAGTACTTTTTATCCACGTTTGGAAATGTACAGCCCAATAATAAACAAAACTGTATTCATATTATTAAATAATGTGGTCTTCGATTTAATGTATGTAGAACTATTCTGTAGTATAAACATGTAATATTTTTAATCTTATAAAATGTGAATTAAACTCTTGTTATAATTTATCGATTAGATTTTATTAATTAATTTATAACTGTGACACATAAAAAATAATGTAAAACAAAATAAAAGTAATTAATTATAATAAGAAATAGTATCTACATATTTCCGAATTTCCTCTGCATTTAATAAAAGAAAAAAGAATTTGTCAATTTAATTTGAACAGTACAAAATTAAAAGCTAATACAAATATTTTCAATACAGTTTGAATTTCAATTGTTATAATATTTTATAAAATGCTAATTTTTTTTTAAAAAATGGTTTTCCAACTTTGTCTTTATGAAACTAAATTTTAGTGCGCCTATGTATTATATGAACTATTATTCTATTGTGCTTTTGCTTAAATGTCTTATCACTCTTAACATGATGTATTAATAGAAAAATAAATATGCATGTTATAATTATTTTATGTAAACATGTAACACTATGATTAATGCAGTTAGGGGCATAGCCAGATTTATCAATTGTTGTGGGAGGGGGGTTAGGGGTCTACAACCTTCATAACCTTACCTATAGCAAAAAAAAAGCAATGGATGGGGTTACAACACATAAACCATTCTTGGCTACACAATTGAATGCAGTACTTAATCAAAATATTGATTGGAATTATATAATAATTTAATTAGAGTTGGCCATTTGATATTTTGGCTTAATAAATATGAATTATAATAATACTGAATAAATTAAGTTTTTTTTTTTTTTTATGTTTAAATGATATTTGTTTATCCAATATTTTTGTTGACAAATTATTTTGCCTTCCAAATAATATTATTTTCTTTTATTATGTAATATTTTTATGTTTAAATCGATGAAAAATGTCTATTACATTCTATGTAATATAATACTGTATGAATATTGTGATATTTATGTCAGTTAGTTATTAACAAAACAGTTTTTTTTTATTTTATATAGAACGGTTTTGTTCCTATTAAATAGGTATTTTAAACCCAAATCACACCTAATTGTGGATTAAAGATTACAAATACAATTATAATATTGTTATGCATTTTTATTTCATTGTTTAGTTTTTATGTTTTGTAAAATAATTTGTTAACTGTGAAGTTAGTAGTTTTGTAAACTAATATAATCTAAATATTAAATTAGATATTATTTATAGCTTTTTATTAATAAAATTGTTACATTTTAAAATTATAAAAAGAAATTTGCCAGGTTATAATAATTATTAGCTTTGGCTTTATTATTATATTATTATTGTTTTATATATATATATATATATATAAATATATATAATTCTAAAATGTTTTTTATTTATTAATTGGTCTGATGTTAATGTAGACAAGTTATGATTTGTCAAGACTACAAACAATATTATATTGATCACAATTGCGTATATTTGATAATTTTATTAATAATTGTAATGACCATAATAATAAAACAATAAAACTATAAAATATCCTATTGTGGTTAATGTACATTGTCCACCAGTGTCAAATTTAATCTGGTACATAGGATTCCAAAAAATAAGTTCAACCAAGGTCAGAAATATTAAAAGTAGGTAGCTGCTTCATAAAATAAAAATAATTTTAAGATTTTTATGTTACTTCTACTTTTAGATTAGGAGCTTAACAAAGGATCTATTGGTTTTACTATAATGTGTTTTTTTTTTCTTAATGTAAACAACTTCAAAAATAAATCTTGTTCCTTAAAAGTATAAAGTAGCAGTTTTTTTAAAAGGAAATGTTTTCTAATTGGTGTATTAAAGATGTCGTTTTTTGATTTTCCAAATAGTTTTCATAATAATTTGGAAAACTGATAAATTTATGGTGTTACAATAAAGTATGTTAGTAAAATATAATAAGTATTAATGTAAAAATATAAAAAATTAAAAAATATCTAGATAAATTAAATAGGCTATACACATAAAATCAAATCAATTACAATACAAATCCAATTAATTGGGGAGGGGTTAGAAATCTTTAATTCAGAAGTAAATTCTTTTAATGAAGCCTAGCAACTTAAGGAACTTAAAAGTTATCGTGTTGATATGCGTTTTGGAATTAAGAGAAGGAGTAAATGTGAAATCAAGGTCATAAACGATTTGACTGGCAGAAAGGAGTATTGTGCTATTGAACGTGTAAGGAAACACAATTGGGGATTGACATTAGTGAAGGCCATTTAATGGCATTTAGATAAATTAAGTTCTAAACCAAGTATATTAACCCATAATAATAAACTGTCAAGATCATCCTGGAGCCGTAAACAGTTGTTAAATGACTTAATTCAGTAATACAGTTTCATATCATCGGCAAAGCATAAAATATTATCATGTATGGTTAGATTATTCCCTAGATAAAAACGTTTTTCATTCAGATTAGTAGGTAAAATTCAAAATGGCTGTTACTTAGAAATTATTTATCATATATAAATGTGTGGTATATTAAAATTTGCAAAAAAATAAATTTTACAGAATAGCTTATAAAATTTTCTGAAAAAAGTAAAATATTTTTTTTACTAAAAAAAAATTAATTTAAAAATAAATATTTGTAGTTCTCATCCCTGTAAATAGTATAAAACAATCAAAATTTGATTATCTTTATTATTTCTGGAGATATTCAAGAGGTATATCTTCGTGGGACAATTTATGTATACAGAATGATTTTTTTATCATGAACTACCAATTATCTCAGTGGATTTAAAGTGAATTTAATTTCTGTTTTTTCTAATCATTATGGAATCGTTTAAGCTTTATTTTATAGCCATTTTGAATTTTTACTCCTACTCTATATAACTTAAATAAGTACATACTTTTGATTTTCAAATGGAAACCCCCCTCCCTCTTTTGAATACAGATTTGAATAGATAATGTTTTTCTAAAAATGTTGATATGCATAATATTAATATCAGATTTACCGTTTATCAGTTGTAACAGTTTAGGGTTTAGACCGGAGGTATAGGGAAGGGTAATAAATTGCCTATCTTTAACCCTTCTCTACTTTTCTGGTCTAAACTTTAAACAAAAAATCACTCTGTATATTATATATACATAAATAATATAATTATTATTATAGCATGTAACAACCATAGATTCTAAAGGGACGATAACACTTTTGGAAAATATTTTCTTTTATTATGGGCTCTTGTAATTTTCATTTTTCATCCAGTGCTTGTCACGTCAATTTTCCCATACTTAACATTTTGCGTGATCACACAATCGCGCACCACGTATTCACGGATACGTGATTGTAGAAAACCAAAGCTTAACTGAGACGACAAACTGAACAGATCAACCACACATTATTATCAGAACTTTAACCAACAGATTAAATTTACTTATGGTTAGTTAACTGACTGTTAAAATGGCAACTGAAAAACCGGCCCAAGACTTTATACTTAACGAGCTGATCAGCGTAATCGGAATCTGTCACAAAGAAAAACAAATTTCAAAAGACCGCGGCACACCTAGTGAATGCTCACGACACACCAGTTGCACCGTTGCACTCAATTTGAAAACCATTGGTATAGTAAAAATATATAGTACATATTCTCGTTTATTTTTGGGTTTTCATATTTGTTGAAAAAACTCTTGAGATAATCGAAAAATGATTTCTTTAAAGTTCCTCCCCCACACTGATTCCCTTTCAGAAAAGGCGCTACACTTAAAAATCATAGCAAGATCTCTGATAGAAAAGTTGTCTACCAAAAAAAAAAAAATAAACATCTTTGTAAAACTATAAGCTTCTTCGCTACACTCAGAATCTAAAAATAAAAACTTTTATAATGGAGTGCTAGGGTTATTCACCTGAATTGGTTTATCTCAATAACTTAATATACCGAATATCGAAATATACACTCCTGCATCTATGTATATAAAAATGAATGCTTATATTCATTGGTAAGCACATAATTTGAAAATGAAAGGATCGATTTTTTTTTTGTCATGGATAATTTCAGAAATTACTGGACCAGTTTATGTGCAGTTGAAACTTGCTACTTGAGTTTAAACTTGTGATTTCTAGGGTAATAGGTAGGTACCACCATTAGACTGACATACTATAAAATTGACAATATTGAGTTATTTAACATAATATATTCGCATAAGATTAAAACTTCAAAAAGCTATAATTTCGAAACTCAGTCAGTCCGCTCAATTCTGATTTCACCATCATTCGTAAATCAGCAATAAACATGTGTTCAAAACAAAAATTTGATGTTAAAATTCTTATAAAAAAATTGTACATTGCACTCAGTTTTGGATTCTGAGTGGTGCGGAGAAGCTTTTAGTTTTACAAAGATATTTATTTATTTTTTTTTTTTATCTATGCGATACTTTCCAATAGAAATTTTGCTCCGATTTTTAAGTGTAACATTTAAAAGGAAATCTGACTGAGAAGGTACTTTAAGGAAGTAATTTTTTGGTTTTCTCAGGATTTTTTTCAACAAATAGGAAAAACCAGGAAAAAATAGGAAAACCAAGAAAAACTTAGGAAAAACCGGAAAATCGTAAATTAATGTAATCTGATACATTAAATTACCTATAACAGTGGCTGCACCCGTCCCCGTTATCCTAGGAGAGCTTTTTTTTCCACAAAGTACAACTTATAATTTATATCCTGTTAAATTGTCAATCATTTCTATTTAGTCAACAATTTTATTCATAGAGTACCTACCAAATAAAAATTAAGATATCTATAAACCTTAAAATTGATTAAAATGTTTTTACTTTTACCACGTCTAAAAAAGGCAAATGTCCAAATTTTAAGTCTCTGCAAATATTTTAAACTGAATTATAACAAATAATAAAATAGAAAATAATAAAAGCATTATTTTGGTAAATTTTCCGTTTTTTTTTACGGTCTATCCCGGTTTTTCACATATGTTGTGAAAACCGTTTGGAAAACTAAAAAATTACCTTTCTAAAGTATCATTTAGACAATATATACATATCGGAACAAGATACATTTTTGTTACAGTATAAAAAAAAGAAAAAATTAACATCTTTATAAAACCAATACATTCTTCGCTACACTTAGAAAAAAAAAGTTCTGATTCCCGTTTCGCTATCACTGTCATATCGCCGCTCACACCAGTCATAGTAGGGTACTATAATAGATAATATGTATGCTAAGCCACCATTTTGTGACTCACTTAAATACCATTTATTATTTATTAGCAATAGTTTATTAATTAATCAAAAGTCCGTGTATTAACATTATTCGTGTTTCTAGCTAATTTAGTGGACGTCAAGTTTTCCAATTAAATATTTCATATTATTAAACTTGAACTTTATAGTATTAAACAATATATTAAGTATTATTTTTACAATCGCTTTATAAATATAGCAACCTAAAAAGACAGACATAATTCACCCGATAGATGGACCAATGTTGTAGGTGAGAAGTTGGGAAGGTAGTATATAATGGGAAGTTTAATGTATATCTGTACGTACCGATTGCTTATTGCTAATGAATTATAATTCTGAGCTGAGTTCGGATATACTTGTTTTAAAATGCCGTAATATTTACGATTTCCGTCAAATTTCGCCAACAAATTCTTATAAAAAAAAAAATTCTACATTAAACTGAACTTTATTTTTACCAGAAAGTACAGCTTATAATGAACATCCCGTTGTATAGGCCAATGAAGCAAATGAGCTGAGGCAGCACTATAACTTGTGTAATACTCATTAATGTACTGAGAAATGATTAATTGTGAATAAGCATTCTATTGTTACTATTCTCAATACTCAATGAATAAGTGAATTGGTGAGTAAAACTAGAGAGTAGAGAATAAATGGTGTACATTTTATACTTCGTACAATTAAAAATAATATTTATGTTGACAATTTTGCAAATTCTTTTTAGTACGAATAACTGTTTTCGTTTTAAAATTGTCTTCTTAAGAAAATTGTCCGATGCGAGTCTGCGCACATTTTATATACTTATCATTGCAGTTGAGACTACATCAGTGGCATTATTTTTACACGAGAAACTTATTTGTTGTTCATTCAACATTTGATCTAAAATCATAAAGGTATACTTAGGGTGAGTTACAATATTTTTTGAATAAGTTTTCACTGCTTCTTATGAAATAATAAAATTTAATATAAGGGATGTATTAGTTTTCCATGAGATTTTCGATTAAATAAAGCCAGGGGCGGATCGGCAGAATTTTTTGGCCCAGGAAAATCCGTTAGTCCTTTAAACGTGCATATCCACTCCACCTATGAACGAATTACGTTTAATTTTTGTACAATTGTTTTATTACTTAATTAGTAAGAATTTGCACGTATTTTATTTAGGCGTGTATCAAAGTTTAGTAAAGGTAGAGTATAGATACATATATAGATACATATATACATATACGTATATATACGATACATATATATCTATACATACATACGTATGTATAGATACATGTATGTCCAATCCCAGTTCTCAACTGTATCAACAATTACGTTATTAAATTATCATAAATTCTTGCTAATTACGTGCTAAATGATTGCACACAAAACCAATTTTTTGTTAGGATAGTCTTTGGTACATTGTATAATATGTACGAGTCATTTTATATTATAAATAGCACTGGTGGTATTATAGTTACAGACTCAGTCTCTAACTAGAATACACCAGCTGCCGACCAGTTTTTGTTAGTTTCCGCGCATCTTTTATAATAACCGGTCTGCTAATGGCCACATAGTGT